CGTTCGGTCTTGGGAGCCTTGGTGTGAAGAGCTTTTTGCGTTACCGATCGCTCGCTATTTGGCGTCTCTGGGCTTTCTTGGGAGTCCTATTGGGGCCCTTGTCGGGCCCTTTTGGAGGCCTCTTGGGACGCCTCTCGGGGGCCTCTTGGGGCTTCTTGGGGGGCTCTGGGGGCCTCCTGGGAGCTTCTTGGGGCGAAAGGCTAGACTTTTCGGTTCGTGGTCCCCCTCTTGGGGCCGTCTTGGCGCCCTCATGGGCCGTCCTGGGCGCCTTTTGGACCGTCTTGGCGCCCTCTTGGGCCGTTTTGGGGGCCTCTTGGGAGCCTCTTGGGCCGTCTTGGGGCGGTCTTGGGGGCCCCTTGGAGCGTCTTCAACGCAGTGAAAGCCGAAAAGCCTTGTATGCTAAAAGTGTACCTTTTCCCATAGGACATCAATGAATTTCGCCTCCCGGTGGCCTGTTGGGACGCCTCTTGGGGGCCTCTTGGGGCTTCTTGGGGGGCTCTGGGGGCCTCTTGGGAGCGCATTGGGGCGAAAGGCTAGACTTTTCGGTTCGTGGTCCCCCTCTTGGGGCCGTCTTGGCGCCCTCATGGCCGTCTTGAGCGCCTCTTGGGCCGTCTTGGGGCCCTCGTGGGCCGTTTTGGGGGCCTCTTGGGAGCCTCTTGGGCCGTCTTGGGGCGGTCTTGGGGGCCTCTTGGGCCGTCGTCAACGCCGTGAAAGCCGACAAAACGCAGATGCTAAACATATACGTGTTCTTTTTTGGAAAATCTTTGATTTCGGCATCTTGGGGCCCTCTTGGGACGCCTCTTGGGCGCCTCTTGGGGGCCTCTTGGGGGCCTCTTGGGCTGTCTTGGGCGGTCTTGGGCTCTCTTGGAGCGCTCTTGGGCCGTCTTGGGGGGGAACCCGAACAACATGCAAAATCCCGAGGGAAAACCCGAAAACGGCCGTTAACACGTAAATGCGCACGTTTCCCCCCCTCCCCTGGAACCCCTCCTTTTAGGGCTTCGCCCACACCAGAACGTCATCATTCGTACCTCGCTCTGTCCGTTACCTGGAACTTTCGGTGGAGCTCCCTATGGGGCCACGAAACGCTGTCCTGGGCGTGGGGGACGCACGCGGGCACCCCCAGTGGGGCATTCGGTGGAGCTCCCTATCGGGCCACGAAACGCTGTGCTGGGTGGGCGTGGGGGACGCATGCGGCCCCCCCCACTGGGGCCTTCGGTGGACCCCTATGGGGCCACAAAACGCTGTGCTGGGCGTGGGGGGCGCATGCGCCCCCCCCCCCCCCCCCACTGGGGCCTTCGGTGGAGCTCCCTATGGGGCCACGTAACGCTGTGCTGGGCGTGGGGGACGCATGCGCCCCCCCCCCCCACACTGGGGCCTTCGGTGAGCTTCCTATGGGGCAACAAAACGATGTGCTGGGCGTGGGGGACGCATGCGCCCCCCCCACTGGGGCCTTCGGTGGAACTCCTTATGGGGCCACGAAACGCTTTGCTGGGTGTGGGGGGCGCATGCGCCCCCCCCCCCACTGGGGCCTTCGGTGGAGCTCCCTATGGGGCCACGAAACGAATCAGCCATGGCGATGCCGATGATGACGATGATAGTGATGCTGATGCTGATGCTGATGCTGATGCTGATGCTGATATGATGATGACGATGATGATGATGATGATGATGATGATGCTGATGCTGATGATGATGATGATGATGATGATGGTGATGATGATGATGATGATGCTGATGATGATGATGATGATGATGATGATGATGATGATGATGATGATGATGATGATGATGATGATGATGGGAGGCGGGGGTGAGCTCAGACATGCAGAGAGCAAAGGCAAGGATGGGGGAGGAGGAAGAGAGGAGGAAGAAGGAGGAGGTGGGACGCGGGGCGCTGTGTCTTCAAAACGAGGACCCAACACCACAGGATGGTTGGGAAAAATGGAGGAGACTCTCGCCTAACCCCCAAAAAACGCCGCGTTCGAACGGGAACCGACCTTTTTTTTACATCGTCTCTCATCACAGTTTCCACTGAAGTTGTCACACCGCTCGCCGAGAGCGTTCCACAACTCGCAAAGTGCCTGCTCGCAAACGTCCGAACAACGCATGTCCGTTTTCGATGTAATTTGTCGTAGATCCCCCGTGGCGGATCTAGGCCATTTGCGAGTAGTTACACGCCAGTCGTTGAAAGTAGGTATTTTTGGATTCCCAGATCCAATCTACTTCAAGCGCCTTCCTACTTCAAGGACCGACATGCTTTTGTTGTGTTTTGTTACTCTCTGGGAGGACCTGGGCCCAATCTACTATATCCGCCTTCCTACTTCATGTTTCTATCTACTTCTTCCGACCGACGTGTACTGTGCGAGTAGTGAAACGCGCTCGTCTAACTGCAGCGGCCCCCGTGCCAGCGGCGGCGGATGTCCCCGAGAGCCCGGGGAGCAGGCCGGCACCCGAGCGCAGCCGGCCGGGCCTCGTCCGCCCAGCGCCCTTTCGGCAGGCCGCCGGCGCGGGACGGGGTCCTGGGCAGATGCGCGGGCTCTTCGGCGCACCCTGGCTGCCCGACCCCAGGAGTGAGAGATGGGGAGGACAACTCGAGGCCTCCTAGATGGGGTCGGAATAGATGGGATCGGAGGATCGCGCCGCACCGCCGATGCATCAGCGATGCATCGGCGATGCGGCTCGACGTGGGGCCCAATTTTCTCCACGCCCACGTCGCAGATGTACCACTGACGTCGCTAGTGCATGGCCGATGCGTCGCAAATGCATCGGCGATGCGGCGAGATCCTTCGACACCATCTACTCGGCCCCCATCTAGGAGACCTTCAACAACGCGGGTGGATAAGCGAGAAAAGAGGCGCAGAGATGAGGGCGTGCGAGAGGTGGCATCATGCGTCTGATACCGCACGCGCGCGCGGCAGCTTCCCGCCCCGACGCCCAGGGGCGAGTTCAGCGGCAATGCGGTTCCGATGTCAAAAGGAGGGAGTCAAGCAGTGGCGAAGCGTCCTGCTGTGCCTATTGGCCTACCAAACATTATTCTAAGAACCTTTTTTTCTGTTCTGCGCGAGATGTACTTAGAACATTTCTGGATGGGAGTGTCTTGTTTGAACATATGGGCATAGGCCTATAGGAATACCGGGACGGGCGGTCCCTGCTCAAAGACGAGGACCAACATTCCAAACCGCCACGCACCAACGCAACCGAATCCCACAACAATTTCGGGCATAGGCGGTTCAGGGAGCTAGTGTCTCCAACTTCCTCCTTTTTCTTGGGGGGGAGGCAAGATTCTCCTGCTCCGCCCCCATGGGTCTGGAGGGAGTGTTCCGCGGGTCGCTGGAGGGTCCAAGATGGCCCGAGTACGGCTGTATGAGGGCCCGGGCTGGCCAGAGATGGTCTCCAACATCTTGCAGTACATCCCGCGATGTTCCAACAGCTTCCAGCATGCCCCCGAGAAGCTGCATTGCTGCCCTAAGCGCATCCGAGTGGACGCGGGACTTTCAGGGGCGCCCCCGAGAGTCCATCATCATCCAAACGCAGTAGGAGAACAGCCCGAAACAAAAACATGTTTTCTCGTTGTTCGGTTCCGATGTGTTCCATGGAGCTTCAAGATGCTTCAGGATGGCCCGAACGAACCCCAAGAGGCGCCAAGGGTGGTCCCGAACGCGCCAAAGAGCGCTCCGCGAGCACCTTAAGGGGGCCCCAAGAGTGAAGGGGCCCTTGGACACACATACAAATAGACACGAGTAGCAGGATTCACAATATTTTCCCGTATTATCAGGGCTTTTGTTTCCCCGCCCAGTTACATAGTGTCCTTTATCGTCTGGGGAAACGACGATTGATCGTATATGTGTTTTTTGTTCCCCTCCTTGAACAGGCCGTTATTCTGCCTCCGCGGGCCGGAGCGTAATTGGTCACCCCCCTTTTTGATCGATGGCCTCTAAGATGAACCCAAAGAGGCCGCTACAAGCCCCCTCTCCTCCTCCTCCTCTTCCTCCTCCTCCTCTTCCTCCTCCTCCTCCTCCTGCCCCTCCTCCTCCGCCCCAAGAGGCCAAATAGGGCCTTCGGAGGGTTTCAAGACGGCCCACATGGTTTGCAAACTGGCGCTATGAGGCCCACAGCCCCACGATGCCTCCGCAGAGTGTGAGCGCATGCTGCCACGAATCCCTGGCCAGTGGAGCTCGCTGGGCGTTTGATTTTGGATGGGCTGGTGGGTATGCGCGAAGCGTCAACAACTGGCCACCCACATCTTTGGGACGCACGTCCAACCAAACGAACAACGCCGCATGGGCAACGCTACCATAATCGAAGTCACGCACTGGAGCACGGTCGGGGAAGCGACGCAGCCGGCCGCGCACGTGCGATTCAACCATCATTTTCAAACACGGGGCGGAGTTGTTCGAACCTACTAGTATTTTGCATCACGTAATTGTTACACTTAGCATTTTCGCTACAGCTCGTTGGGTGAAATTGATGGGCAAGATTGGGCGAGTGAAAAGCGAGCGATGAGGAGGACAAAGGACATGGGGACAGGGAAGGGGGGAACGTGGAAAGTGAAGAAAAAGTGTGGGATCCAAACTTGAAAGGGAATGTGGAGGGGGAAGGGGGATCGGAAGGAGGGGAGGGGAGAAGGGGGAAGGAAACGTAGTGAATGGGGAATGCATGACAGAACAAAAGGAAGGGGAGGAAGGGGGGAGGGAGAAAGGGCAATGGGGAGGGGGGAAAAAGGGGAAATGGGGACGGGTCGAAACGGAAAGTGGGAGGCGGAATGGAGTCGGGGGTTGCGGGAATGGGGCGACGAACAAATATGACGAGAGAACGGAGCAGGGGAGCAATTGAGGGGCAAGGGGGGGCCAGGGGAAGGAGGAAATGTCGAAGGGGGAACGACCGAATCGAGAAGGGGAAGTGGAACGGGCAAGGGGGGAAGGGTGAAGGTATCAGGAGGAAGCGACGAGAAGAGGCGGGGGAGTCGGAAGAGGAGGACATGTCACCGCGGGCGCCCCCAGGCGGCTCCCCACGCTGCGAGCCACAGAGCAGCCGGTGGACAGGCAAGGCGAAAGCGCTGACAGAGCCCGCGTCCTTCGGCCACTCCTCCTCTTCCTCCCTCTCCTTCTCCACCCCTCCTCTTGCTCCTTCCTCCTTACATCACCTCGAAGCCGTCCTTCTCCCCAAACTCTCGAGATCTTCCTCCTCCTCCTCCTCCTCCTCCTCCTCCTCCTCCTCCTCCTCCTCCCTCTGTTTCTCTCCTCCCCCATGCCCCTCCGGGGCGCTGGCTGTCGTCCCCGACGGAGGCGCGATGCCTCCCGCTCGCGCATTCGTCCAGCTGTTTCCACCAGGCGCAGTTTTTGCTCTCGGCAGGCGCCCTCCGGCCTCTCGTCCGACCACAGACCCCCCCTTTCCCTCGCTTACACCTCGGGGGGCAGGGGGGGGGGCAGCCAGTAGAGGGAGAGGGGAGGGGGAGGCGAGGAGGGCGGCTGCAGGAGGAGGGGAGGGGGAGGGGAGGGGCAGGGGAGGGAAAGGGGGGGGTGGAGGAGGGGGGGGGGCGCTGCAGAAGGGCAGGGCCCCCCCCAGACCTCCAACGTTGTGAGACACGTGCGCGACGTGCGCTTGCAGCGAGTTCGGCATCTGCGTTGCCGTCCTCGGAACCTGGGCAAGGCAACCAGTCCTGGAGATGGGGTTGGGAGTCGTTGGTCTCACATGATGAAATCAGCTATGGCGTCGGAAATAAACAACCGTAGAAAGCAAGTAAGAGCCCCATCTATATCGTTTCTCGGCCTCTGGAGTGGTGTCGACGAAAACCCAACCGAACACGGTTCCTCTTCGATGAAAACACTATCAGGGTTATTTTTCTCTCTTCTGTTACTCTTATTCCCACCGCACCCCCCGCTGGCGGAATGATTGTATTAATGCATCTGCTGGGGTGTCAAGCGATCTTGCTCGGTTGTCCTCCCTGATAAAATACATCGACCCAATGAAAGTTTCTTGACTTTTCGTCATGTCGCTTGCTAGCGGAAGCCGGTGGAAGTAAAACGAGGCGGAAAACGGCGGAAGGCCGTTCGAAGGTTTGCGGAAGACAGCAGAAGTAATTGAAGTCTTGTTCGAACCCCCTCCCCCCCCCCTAGAAGCCTAGCAATGTAGTCTTCTGCCGTGGGCTGGGCAGGATCCCGCCTAATTTACTCCCCTTTGATATTATTTTGTTAGTTCAGCCAGACTAAAATCCCACCCGTCAAGAAAAGGGTAAACCACTATCCCGGGCCGTCCACGGTCGTCTTGAAATCATATTGAGACCAGATCTCAGTCATGCTTGGATCGCGCAGACGTCGCGTGTTCATGCTGGGGCTAAACTGGGCGCGCGTGGACCCATCTTGTTGCCATCGGGCCATCTGTCATCTTCGAGTCGGCATGGGACGGTCCAGAATCCATGGCGGGATCGTGTTGGGGTGGAGTGATCCCAGGGTCGTCTGGACGTTACCGTCTGCGGCCTCATGCCCTCTTGGAACCATTTTGTGGCCATGGGGGTGCCTCGGGCTCTCGCGCGTGCGAGCGCGGAGCACGCGCGCGCGACAATTAATGTCGCCGATGGGCGTGCACACACACATACTCCTTGTTGCGAGTTTCCAAGGAAACTTTTGTTGGAACCAAGTAGGGGGACTGTGTTCCGATTAGGACGATCAAGGGCAGGTACATTCCGTTGGCCTGTGATCGTTGGATACGGTTTCTTGGCTTGGCCATGGAGGCACATATTCAAACACCGAATCTGAGTCCAATCCCCGGCTTGGCCAGGATCGGTGTAGTGCATAGGTTCAGGGGTATGGCCAGAGGGACCGCTACACAAATGTGTTATTCCACAGTGCGGTGGCGTGCAATCCGCGATGGTCAGACATACCAACAGGGCATGCGTGCAAGGCAACCCATCCACCTTCTGCTCAGGCGTACCAGACACACGCACGTTCTCTCCTCTCTCTCTCTCTCGTTCTCTCTCTTTCTCTCTCTCTCACGCGCTCTCACACGTGTCTTCGAGAATCTGCCACAGCAGTGCGGGCGTCAATCCGTTGATGAATCGTGCGAGCGTAGCGCAGTGTGAGTGGCAAAGGGCGAAGATGGCAAGCACAATGCGGACACGCACACACGCACACAGACACATTCACACGCACAGATTTCCCGACGCGCTGATGGATGCAGCAATGGATGCAGTCCGCAGATGCAAAACTAAAACGGCTTACGCACAAGCACGTTGACCAACGACACACGCACACGCACGCACACTCACACACAGACACGCACACGCGCAAATTTGAGCATGCATGAACGGCATGCACCGCCGATCTTTTGGGGTCTCAGGGGGCTTGCCCGGTTTTTTGGGGGGCGTCTTGGGCAATCATTTGGGAGGTTTCTTGGGCCATTGTGGACGCTGCGACGACCAAAACAGCCGATATGCAAAACAGCACGCTATTCATGTATTGGGGTGATTCTCGTTCCTTTGGGTCTTCTTTGGAGTCTTTTTGGTTGGAGTCCTCTTGGGGCGCCTTGGAGACCTCTTGGGCTGGTTGGTGGGCCATCTGAGAGCATCTTGGGGCCACGGGGAGGCCACGTTGGGCCATCTAGGGGCCTGTTGGTACGGCGGGTATCTGCCGAAAGACCGGAGAAAACATTTCTCCAAACACGATAATTTGGTGGTATGCGTGAAGTGCTATAGAGCGAAAGGGACGCCTCGAAGAGGCCAGGCAACGCGCCCCGCGGAGGCAAGCACTTGCGCGGACTGCGACAAGCGGCGGAACTTGCGAGGCATCTGCTCGCCGCGATGTGACCGCAGGGGAAGCAGGTCGAACCCCGCTGCGCGAAGAACGTGTTGAGGATGCTTATTTGGGGTTTCCTGGGGGCATGTTGGGACCTCGGGGGAGCGTGGTTGTGTGCGGGCGCTCTTGGGCCGTCCATCGCTTGCGGGGCCAGTTGGGGGGGGGGGGGGGGCCTTTCTTGGGCTGGCTGGACGGCTTCGTGAACCCCCTTGGGTCCTCTAGCCCTCCTGGAAGTTTGTGTGGGCATCGTAGATCTCTCTTGCAGGCCACTTTGGCTGCCTCTTGGCCCGTATTTGCCGCTGCGCAGACGAGAATAGCGAATTTGTGAAAATCGGCGCTTTCCCCATGGAATGGGGCAATGTGTCCCTCTTGGAACCTCTTGGAGTCCCCTGCGGGCGCCTGAGAGGCCTCTTGTATCGTCTGGAGGCTATCTTGGAGCGTCCTGGGGCCATCTGCGGCCACTTGGTGGCCACGCTGGGCTGTCCGGGAGCCTCGGGGAACCATGTCGATGCCGTCGGAGGCCGTCCAGGATCACTTCTGGCCAGGGGAGTGCGATTCGGTTCGCACCGGAGCACGGATCGAGCCCCGTGTAGGAGAAGAGGGGCCATAGCCCAGGGCAAGCGCAGAGCGAGCAGGGAAACATATACATATATGTATATATATATATACATATATGTGTATACACACGTATTTGTGTGTATATACATTCGTAAATCGAGAATCGGAGTTGTATCTGTATGTGTATATATATGTATATATATATATATCTATATGTGTATGCATGCATGCATGCATGCATGCATGCATGCATGCACACATACTTCCTGGCAAGATGCCAGATGTATAATGCACGCACGCCGCCTGACACTAACACGAAGAGTTGCGAGTAACCCCATGCCCAGGATAATAATCTACCCCCCCCCTTAAGTCGTTAGTTTTTTTTATCGTCGACCAATAAGAGTTTGGTCGGGGGCGCGGGGGCGCGGAGGCCGAACTTCATTATCACGGGAAAAGTTCGCCATCGAGGTTATTTCTTTCTTATGTTGAGATGACAACATCAAGCGAAGCGAACACGTTGTTTCAGGATGTCTCCAGCGAAACCAATGTCCTTCTGTCTCTTTGTAGTTATTTCTGTCTCTCTTTCTTTCTTTCTCTGTCTCTCTCTCTCTCTGTCTCTCTATCTCTTCCTCCTCCTCCACCCTCTGGCGCCCTGAACTTGTTTATCGCTGGGGTTGATCACCCTGGGAAATGAGGCACGTGAGCTACCCTACACAAGCAGATGAACATGTTAATGTTCATCAAGCGTTTACATATTAAATATAATAAGTTTTAAGCTTTGGATTTTTGCTATCTCCTTCTCCTCTCCTCCTCTTGCTCTTTCTCCTCCTCCCTCAAGGATGTCTCAAGCGAAACCGATGTCCTTCTGTCTCTTTATAGTTCTTTCTGTCTCTCTTTCTTTCTTTCTCTGTGTCTCTCTCTCTCTCTCTGTCTCTCTATCTCTTTCTCCTCCTCCTCCCCCTGGCGCCCTGAACTTGTTTATCGCTGGGTTTGATTGTCCTGGGAAAACGAGGCACGTGAGCTACCCTACACAAGCAGATGAAAATCTCAATGTTCATCAAGCGTTTACAAATTAATTATAATCAGTTTTACACTTTGGATTTTTGCTATTTCCTTCTCCTCTCCTCCTCTTGCTCTTTCTCCTCCTCCTCCCTCAAGGATGTCTCAAGCGAAATAAGCAATAATTTGAAGATGTCTCAAGCGAAACAGACAAATATTTCGAGGATGTCTCAAGCGAAACAAGCAATTCGTTGAGGATGTCTCAAACGAGACTATCCTCAAGATATCTTTGGCTTTTTCCTCTTGCTATCTCTTTATGCTGGCTCTGGCGGGTAACTTTTATTATCCCCCCCCGAAAACCCCGAACTTTATTCTCCCTTAGGGTTTATTATCCGCAGCTAGGGGTTACGATGTTCGAGCTCGAGCACGCGTCCTGTGGGCGTTGGGAAGTGAGGAGGGGGTCGTGCCGCCCACCACCCTTCCCGCAAGCGCAAGGGGGGGTCCTCGAGGGGTGGGTTAGAAACAGGGTCTCGAACCGCTTCCAACCCCTCCAATGGCAAACGACGACGGCGAGCGGCGGCGCCGGCGCCGGCGCCGTCGGGCAGCGGAAGCGATGACGACGAAGTCGACGACGATCGAACCCCAGTAGGATCCAGGGGGGCTAAATCAGAGTAGATAGAGCCCTCGTAGGATTCTCTCAGACGTGGGCCCAG